CAGATCTTTAACAACATAAATGTCCTCTTCAGCCGTCATTTTGCCTCTATGCAGTGTCTCTTTAGCTACGCCCAGGACATTGAGTATATTGCCACCAGGTCCAAACAGTGGGCGCGTCGATGTCGCCAGGTGCATCACATCTAGCCCCCCAGCAATGTCACGGTACACCTCGACTGGCAGGGCAGTGACATCAGCACCTGTGTCTATCTTAAAGCACACTTTTTTATCTCTGACTTGAAGTTGCACTGTCCATGGATCTTTTCCAGCATCCACAGCACCAAGGAAAAAACTTTCCCCTTCATCTGCTGTAACAGCATTCAGAGAGGTTGCACTGTTCCTACATACATTACTGTAATGTCCTTTCTTTCCACAGCGATGACACACAGCATCAGTAGCAGGGCATTCTGCTTTTCTATGTACCGGCATTTTCCCACATCTATAGCAGGCCCTTGTGCTTTGCTGCGCGTGTGCCGGTTTGTATCTGCCTGGAAGCTGTTCTTGTAGCAGCTTGGACGGAAACCTCTGCTTTCTGTAGCCAGCAGGTGTAGCATGCACAGCATCGACACTGGAGCATCCACTATTTTCTCCTCTCAGGTCCGACTGCTGTCGTCTGATTTCCTCCGCTAGCCTCGTCTTTTCTATGGCAGTTTGGAGCGTGAGGTCTCTGTCTAGCTGTAACTTTTCAGACAAGGAGACGTTTCTCAATCCAACTACCAGCCTGTCACGAATCAGCTCCTCATGTAACTGTCCATAATTACAATGTTCAGCTAAGTTGTAAAGAGCAGTGATGAAGGAATCCACTGTTTCTCCTGGCAATTGCACGCGCTGATTAAACTTGGCTCTCTCATATATGACATTCTTTTTAGGTACAAAAAATGCATCAAAGCCTGCTTTCACGTCTGCATAGTTGTTTCTAGCATCTGCAGTTAGCGGTAGCCCCTTTAGCACATCTTCTGCTTCATCGCCCATGCAATACACCAGCGTATTTACCTGGTTTTCCTCTGGCGTTGCGTTTAGATTACTTGCAAGCCGAAAGCGGTCGAATCTCCTAATCCACCGTTCCCATTCTTGTGGCTTGGTGAAATCAAATGGCTCCGGAGGTTGTATGGTGAACGTTGCGCTTGGCGTGGGTCGCCCCATTTCTGCCTGATTGTCTTTCGTCTCGTCACCAGAGCTACTTGCAAAACTTTCTTTTAATCCGCTTGATGCACGATTTCTCCTCTTAGCCCTTTTCTTCATCTTTCTCCATTCATGCGCAGCATCCCACTTCTGACACCATGTCAAGTTGTTCTTTTATTTAGTGATAAGTATCTCACACAGAGCTGCAGCTTTTGTCTCACATACACTTAAATTACAAACAGCTGTTAGGGACCGGAAAACCCCTGCTCTATATTCTGTTGCTTTTCAAAGTAAAAGACGTCACATAGCATTACACCACAATCAGAGCAGTCTGTATCATCAGCGCTGTGTCTCTCTCACCAACCAGCTCCCAGATCAGCTTCTCTGATTGGTTGACGCGGCGCGTCGAGCAGCAAAAATTCAATTTTTCCATCTCGAGCAGCAACGCGTTTGTGGCGCGTCACGCGCGTCAGATGCCAAAACGCGCCCGACGCGCTGCTTCGGCTGCTCAGACGCGCTGCGCTTGCTGCTCGAAACGCGCCGCGGGACCTTTTGCTGCGCCTTGACGCGCGTCAACCATTGACTTTGCATGTAAACTCGCTGCTTCTGTCGCGCCAGCTGCCCCCGGTGTGAACGCAGCATTACAGCAGTGTGTTGCAGTAAGCTTGACACAGACATTTTTAAATTATGCTCAGTATTGAAGCGTGGTCTGAGCTACACGCTGTGGGTCTAGATACGGCCGAGGCGGTGAGGAAGGGGGGGCGAGTTTAGTCTGACGACGGAGGGACATGAGGGCCAAAAAGAGCGGAGATCCAGCTGGAATAAGGGTCCCAGCGTTCTAGCGCACCTCGCTCTTCTAGCGGGTCAAACTTCACGAGTCATTTTCCGCAATTTCGATCATAAAAACAAAACAAGCCGGCCTCCTGTCTGCTGCACTGTTTGCGGTCGGCTACAATCTGGGAGAGGTGCAGCGGAGCGTCTCTCAAGGGGGCGGTGACATCAACACTCTGGAGCCTTCTTCTTCTTCTTTTTTTTAATGGCGGTTGGCAAACAACTTATAGGTGCATTACCGCCACCTTCCAGAATGGAGTATGGACCAGACAAACTATTATATTCTCCCTAAAATCGGTCTCCGCCAAGTGACGTCAATTGTTTACCTCGGGCGCGGTGCATCGTGGGAAAACCACCATATTAGGTGGAAAGTCGAGATAACCCACACGCGGCTGTTCTTTCGGCACAATTATTTACCAGAAATGACACGATCGTGTTGTGTGAGAGGCTGCCAGTCCCGGTGTCGTGCCAAGGTAGTTATCCCTGCGAAAATTTGTATCCCCTCGTCGGGAGCCCGCACGGAGTAGGAAGAACAACCCGAGTTAACTCCGCTTCAATTCCAACGTGCAGAACTTGAAATTTGAAAGGTTTTACGTGTATGAAAGTTGAGCTTCACTGTTTTATTCTTTACTTCACATGTTATAGCAGAATGTCGCCAGTGATATTGATTTAAAAATAATAATAAAACACAAATGTTTAATTGAAAGCTGGTCGCTGACAGCCGTGTCTACTCCTTCCTCTGAAAGCAAACAGATCCTTGTTCTTTTCCACACGTTCATTAAAAAAATCTCTCATTGTTTCACAGTGTCCAAATGTTCTCATCCCATTGAAAACTGTTGTAAACCATATACTTGTACTAAAAATGAAATAGAAAATGGAGTGCACGTGTAATCATTAAAGACTATATGCAGAAGGAAAATAATTTTTTCCTGGTTGAAATTTAGTATTTAAATCTATATTTGTGTTTATAGTAACATACAATTTATCTATGTTGTACTATCCTTAATAAACAGTTTGTCTTCTAACATCAGCCGTTTTATTTCATCCCATACTGCCAGAACTGGCAGTATGGGATGAAATCTGTTATCTGTTCCCCCTGTCTAAATCAGACAAAAAAGGCCCCAGCTTTTTCAATTTTGGCTTATAAGCATATTTTATGATGACAACTAACCCCTGAAACTTTGGAGTTGATTGACCTTTATTTCTTAATGTTATAAGGGGGGAACAGATTATAGCAGGTGGCCTGCTATAATCTGTTCCCCCTGTCTAAATCAGACAAAAAAAAGCCCCAGCTTTTTCATTTTTGGATATAAACATCTTCTATGATGACAACTAACCCCTGAAACTTTGAATGTGATTGACCTTTATTTCTTAAAGTTATAAGGGGGGAACAGATTATAGTAGGCCACCTGCTATAATCTGTTCCCCCTGTCTAAATCAGACAAAAAAAAAGGTCCCAGCTTTTTCATTTTTGGCTTATAAGCATCTTTTATGATGACAACTAACCCCTGAAACTTTGGAGTTGATTGACCTTTATTTCTTAAAGTTATAAGGGGGGAACAAATTATAGCAGGCCACCTGCTATAATCTGTTCCCCCTGTCTAAACCAGACAAGAAAGGAGCCATTTGTGAACTGTTCGTGTGCTTCCAGTGACTTATATGCTTTGAATTCCTCGCAAGTGTAGGCACTGACGCCAAACACTAGGTAGTTTGTTATGTCCACTGATGAGGTCAGAGGCAGTGAAGTGACGTCGGAGCTCCAGTCTTTGCTGCGGAGATCATGAGGATCTATGCCATTAATATCCGACAGTTTCGACAAGTAACGGTCCCTGGCCTCGTTATTAAGTTTTTGCCGGTACGGTAATTTCGCATTCTGCTTACTTTTTTCCATATAGTCAGAGAAACAAACTCAATCCTTTAGTCCTTCGTTTAGCTATGCTGCGGTTGTTTACACTACGCCTTCTCCACCTAAGATGGCGTCTTAGCAACAAATGTCACGTGACTGGCGGAGACCGATACCCGTTCTTCTTAGAAAATTAAAAATACTCCCAAAAACTACATCCCCAGATGACCTTTGAAACAATTCCCTTATATCTAGTTTATTTTTATTCCTGTCTAACTCTCTACGCAACATCTCTCTTTCCTGAGTATATTTATTACATTCTAAAAGTATATATTGGACAGTTTCTCTGGAGCCGAGGTATTGCATTGAACTCATTACATATATTGTGCATTGTGATATTGTGCAGTATTTGTGCAGTATTTTTTGATGCAACTTTTCTACTTCTGTTATTTGCTGTCATTTCTAAAGAAATTGCATAATGATATTACAGCTTTCATTGATTTATTTTAAACTTGAAACTTTGTTTAGCCTGTAAGGTGTAAAAAAATAATACGGTAATAATAAAAAAAAAAATTTAACTGATTAATCGAATCGAATCGAATCGCGGTGTATTCTTGAGTATCGAAAATAATCGAATCTTTGGGTCAGGAAATCGATACTGAATCAAATCGCTATGATGGATGTGATTTACACCCCTAGTAATGATGGTTTGATAATAATAAATAATCCATCCATGTTTTCCTGCTTATTCTGTCAGGGTCCCGGTGGGGCCGGTGCCTATCTCCAGCAGTCTATGGGCCAAAGGCAGGTTCACCCTGGACAGGTCACTAGTCTGTCACAGGGATAATAAAAAGATTGCCTAAAATATAAACTCAACATACAGCAAAAGTAGTGTTATTTGGGTTAAAAAGGAAAATCAATGAGAAAATTATTAAACATAGAAATATTACTTAAGATAAAAATAAAAACAGAATTCAGTAGGCCCTAATATTATTTGTTTGTTTTGTTTTGCAGGATGTAAATTTAAACATATTTTACTTTTTATATTTTAATGTTTTCTAAATTATTACTAAATAATATCGTTTAAAGATAGTAAAACAGTTTTCGTCGTGATTATCTTCCAATTACTGAGTCGGTTCATTCATTTTCTGGAGGAACCTTTGACAGGTGGAGAAAAGCTGCCGTTTCTTCCGGACCATATTAAAGACGGACCAGACGAAACTTGAGTGGTTGATGTTTTCTATTCCAGTGAAAAGATGAAGTTTCGGGGGAAAATAACAGACATCGCCTGTTTGAACCATTTCACCAGTGAGTCCATTTAAACTGTTAGCATCTTCGCTCCTTTAAATGCTAATTTGTTAACTTTTCATCAGCTAGTTAAAAGAGGAGAAGATATTAGCTTTATGAAAAAACAAAGAAACAAATGATAAAACCGTTTAGTTTTTTAACATCAGATATATGTTTGAATGAAAATGTTGTGAACTAATGTCTAAACTTGAGTTTGAGCTGCAGGAAAATAGAGGACAAGTAGTTAACTGTAGATGAATTCCTTCTTTGAAACGCATTCAGAGATCAATTTAGATCCATGGATTATTTCCTGTTTGTGTTTTTTTCTTTCATATTAAATGTTTACGTCTGCTGCTCATATTTTCTACCTAGTGTCCCTTTTTGTTCTTTTCTGAATGGATGGACCTGTTCAGCATTTTACTCTCTCTGGGAAAATTGCTGCAAAAAGAAAGTTAATTCATGAATTAAATGATAATATTTGTTTGTTTTTTGAACTTGTTGACATGTTGTTGTTTTTTAACCCACCCTTTAGTCTGTAAACTGCTTTGTTGTTCATTAAACCTCAACATAGAAGCATTATTTTATTCTGACAGCAGATTTATTGGATTCTTATCATCAAAATAATAAAAGATTAGATTTATAAAGTCTAGTCATTCTTCTTTAAACTGATACAGAAATAAAATCTATGGCAGTTTTCCTGTTTCTCATTAGTTTAATAAGAGTTTAGGAGGAAATGAGGAGAAATCCAGTGAAGGGAAGCTGATTGGTCCTTAAAATAGAAGCAGAAGATAAACAAAGAGAAGCTGCATTTTACAGGTAAAGTCCCAGAAAAGGAGCAGATCAAATCCATAGGGCAGTTGCTTGTTCAGGAGGAGGGATTGCTGCTAGTCAGCAGTCAGCTGGACTTCCTTAGATACATCCTGTTTCGCTAAATGTGCCTCATGATCACCTGAAGCAGCCTGGATTGGGTTTGATTTAGAAGGAAATTGGATTTAATGTACTTGAGTCTGACTGAGCTGCAATAAACTGGATCCATTTGTCTGATTAAAAGGGCCTTAATATAACAGTTGTTGATCAGCATCATGTAGATCAACAGAATGTCATGAGCAGCTGACTTTCTTCTGTGTGTTCAGGAGTGGTGACCACCATCGCTAAGCTGACCAAGACCTGCGTCCTGCAGCTGACTCCAGACAATCTGTTCTTCATCCTGTCAGGAAAAGTGACCAACGGAGGAGTCGGCATGCGGTGCCAACTGCTGCAGGTCACACGTCTGATGTTTGCTCCATCTGAACTCAGAGTTCTGCTGGTTTTGCTCTTTAATCTTTGGTTCTGTTAGATTTGGCTGAAAGAATTTAAGGGAGTTTTGTTTTTTTTCTCCACTGGATGCCGCGTGAAAGTCTGATGTTTCTAAAGTGTGACGGAAATAAAGCGATATTCTCACACCAACAAGGTGAATCACTGAGATAAAAGAATCCTTTAGATCTAACTTCTGCAGATGATCAGTGTCTGAAAGTAATTTCTATCAGAACCTGAAGAAAAGTGTTGAGGCTGAGATCTTTTATTCCAGAGAGTTCAGTTCAAAGTTCAGCCTAACAGTGAAAAAAGAAGGTTTTAAATGATAAAATCATCTAGAAATAAGGAAAAAGGTCTTGAATTAAGTGTATTTGGCCTTAATACGGGCAAATAAACAAGATAATTTGCCAATGGAATGAGTTATTTACTCTGAAAATAAGATAGATAGTATGCACTTGAAATAAGACAATGCAACTGGTTTGTTTTTCTTATTTTAAATGTGAATTGTCTTGTACCATTGGCAAAGTGTCTCACTTTCCTCATCAAGTTAAGAACAAGTGCACTTATTTTAAGATAAAATGACTTATTTAGCAGCCAAAGTCCAAAGGAAAACTCTATCAAACCTTCAGAAAGCCTTAAAAGTGTCGACCATGACGGCTTTAGGGCTTTGAAGAGACTGTGTCTGATTGGAAGGAAGATCAGAGGACTGGGTAAGGAGTTTCTGTCACCAGTAGCGAATGTTCTGGCAGCATGTTGGACATCTGTAATGATCCTTTAACTCAGAGAAAAAAACCCAGAGAGAACTGCTGTTCAGCTTGGAGTAATAAATATGTGAATTCTGGTCTTCCTCCCTGCAGGCCAACTTCTTCCATGAATACCAGATGGAGGGCGTCTCCTCAGAATTGAACCAGATCTGCTTGGAGGTGGGTCCAGATAACTTGTCCCGGGCCCTGAAGACGGTCCAGTGTGCCAAATCGGTGAAAATCAAGCTGAGCAAGAAGCACTGCGCCTGTCTGAGCATCTCTGCTGAGCTGGTGAGAAGAAGCCAGGATCAGCACTGATTCTGCTCCATCTTTGACTTTTTCTCTTCTAACATCTGCATCTAAAACACTTCATCCATCGGAACCAGAAGCACACATCAACATGGTAGCTTTCAGTTTCTGCTTCTCAGGGAATGGATCGTCTCACAGATTCAGCAGCTGCAGCATCTCTGCTCTGATTGGCTGAGGTCATGTTAGGATCCCAGAGTTTGGCTTTGGACCAGTGCTGTTTCTGGCAGCCTTTCAGCTTTTAGCTTTTGGAGGAAAATGCTGATTAGTTTTAGTCTTAATTTAGTCATTTCTTATGTAAAAATCTGGGTCAAATTTTTGTTGTTTAGGATTTAGTTTGTTCCACAAATCATCAACATTTTCCATCATGAAAACTCACGTTTCCTCATGTTTTAGATCAACTGATGTTTGATACGTTTTTAGTTCAACATCTTTCTCTGTCATTGGGTGAAAAAATTTGAGTCAGACTGAATATAGTTCACTGGTTTCTCTACTGAACCCTGACCTCCATGTGTCCCCGTTCAGCCCACCCTGTCCAGCGTCAGCAGAGTCGTCACCCACGACGTTCCCGTTGAGGTGATTCCTCGAAGACTCTGGCAGGAATTCCAAGAAGACAACATGGCAGACTTTGATGTGAGAAGCTCCTTTCAGTCTCAGTCTTCCTCCTTCTTCAGCAGTGAAACAATCCTTCTGTCTTCCAACTTTCCTTCATTCATTCCAGGACGTCCTGTTGATTTTCTCTCCAGGTGAGCATCTACCTTCCTCCTCTGAAGACCATGAAGAACGTTGTGGACAGGATGAAGAACCTCTCTAATTTCCTGGTAGGATTCCCAGGTCCTGGCTGTAAACATGGCTGGGCTGCGGTTCAGGTCCGCGTCTGTTCCTCTATAGCAGTGATTCCCAACCAGGGGTACTGGTACCTCTAATGGTCCGCCAATGCATTGCAGGGGGGGAAACGTGAAAACATACTGTGTCTGTGCTTTAGCCTACAAATCTGACAGTTAATGAACCAATTGAATAACTCCACAGAGCTCCAGTTTCTACACCAGCAAAATTACCTCAAATGGTTAAATTAACAGGCAACATCACGTTTATATTAAGCCTTTAGCTCTTAGTGAAAAGAATCCGGTCATTTGAAAAAACTATAGTTGTTGTTTTTTTTCCCTTTAAAATAACATTCAATATCTTTCTGCATATAACCTTTTCAAATAAGATTTACAACAAACACTACAAAATCAACAGCGTTATCCACTGAATAAAGAATGACTACATTGACATTTCACACTGAATTACTTTCTATTTACTTTTTATTCTCTAACGAAAGACACAGTGGCAATGGCTAACCCAGTCAGTGTCTTACAGTCAGTCCGAGATAATGTTACGCTACATACTATACTATAGGATACATCTGCGTATATATGGGTTGTTTCTTGGTAAGGACGTCCACCGACCGTGAAATTACCTGTGAACCGACTTCCCACAACTGGCTAACTGCTACACATGTAGGCATTTTTACTGCGTGTCTCTGTGGGAGTGGGGAGGACCAGCATGGAGGACAGTGGCTTCACTTTTTTCTGGCAATCAGCGATCCAGTGAATAAATAGAGATCAGTTGGGACACAAGTCAAAAAACGGTTGGGAACCACTGCTCTATAGAAGCTTCACCTTGCTGGTAACTCCAACCACCACCAGATGGTGCTGTTGCATCAGATATCCTCATAGAACAGCTTCATGTTCAAAGACAAACCATCAGTAATGATTCAAACTTACATTTCTTTCTTAACTTGTTGATTCTCATGAAATCAGTCAATATGACAGAAAGCTACAGACTGATGAGGATGATGATGTCAAACCTCTGTCTCGTTCTGCGTCCGTCCAGCAATCCGGCTAAAGTATTGAATGAATCTTTTCCTCTCCTGGATGACGTCTCCATCAGATCAATAGCATCAGATGTTCTCCTCTCCAGAGACGCTGTGGTGCTCTCAAATAATAAGGTTCAGTTTAGACCCCAAACTGATTCCTTTATCAACCAATCCCTTAGAGTTCATGTAATACCACATGTTGCCTTAACTGGGTTTTTCCTGCAAATGGAGGCTGAATTTAAGCCTGAAGTCATCCTTTACTGACTTATTGGAATATTAGCAGCTGGAGTTAAAACGCTCTGAAAAGGTCTTTTATTTTGAAAGATCTGGACACTTTTAACTGGTTCTGAGTTTATTTTATAAGCAAAGCTCTGATTCTCCCACTATTTGTTGGTCCATTTCTATCCTTCAGGACTGTCTGAACTCCTCATCCATAGTATTGAATGTTCTGCTCTATTATGGTTCAACATGTGGAGAAACAGCTGTTTCCATGGAGTTTGTGTGTTTTTCAGGTGATGGAGGCCAACCTGAAGGGTGAGATGAACCTGAAGATCCAGACTGACCTGGTTTCTGTCAGCACTCACTTTAAAGACCTGGGGAACCCTCCATGGGGTAAAAACATCCAACACTTCAGCTGATAGCAGACAGAAGATGGAGATGTTCCTGCAGGAGGAATCTGGAACATTTGATTGATCTGCTGTAAACCAACATCTTATCAACCTTCAGCTCAGCTTTAAAGCTTCTGATGATTTTCTGACTTCTTTAGCTTACCGTATTTTCACGACTATAAGGCGCACTTAAACGTCTTTTTTTTCCCTCAAAATGTGCGGTGCGCCCTATGGTGCGGTGCGCCCTATGTGTGTTGCAACTGCGACTTTTGAGACCACCTCATTGAGGAGATGATGAAAGAGTGGCTGAATGTAAGGAGACCAGGTGTTTTTTTTCCACCCATCACCATCGCTGTTAATATGTGACTCCATGCGTGCCCATCTCACAGCTGATGTGAAAAACATGGGAAAACAAATTAACGCTGTGCTCGCTGTTCAACCGCTCGACATCGGTGTGAACCGGACCCAGCAGGTGCAGCAGAAGCAGCGAGTTTACATGCAAAGTCAATGGTTGACGCGCGTATAGGTGCAGCAAAAGGTCCTGCAGCGCGTTTTGAGCCGCAGGTGCAGCACGTCGGGATCGTTTAAGCATCTGACGCACCGCCAACGCGCTGCTGCTGCTCGAGATGGATAATTTTAAGTTTTGCTGCTGGACGGGCCGCATCAACCAATCAGAGAAGCTGATCTGGGAGCTGACAGCGAGACAGGCACAGCGCTCTGATGAAGGAGGAGATGATGAAAGCGTGGCTGAGGGAGGTGTAGCCTATGTGAGGAGACCAGGTGTTTTTTTCCATGCATCACCATCGCTGCGTGCCCATCTCACAGCCGATGTGAAAAAAAAGGTGAATCAATGAACGCTGTGCTCGCCGTTATCCCGGGGGGTCTGACAAAGGAGCTTCAACCGCTCGACATCGGTGTGAAGCGGCCGTTCAAAGTAAGGCTGCAAGCGGCGTGGGAGCGATGGATGACCGACAGAGACCACAGTTTCAGGATAAGTGGAAGGCAGCGCCGGACAAGTTACGCCACAGTTTGCGGATGGATTGTAGATGCTTGGACTAACGTGTCTGCTGGCTCTATTGTTCAAGCTTTTGCAAAAGTCGGCATTAATTCTGAGGAGCTGCGCTGCACGGAAAGTGACTGACAGCGAAGAAGGGGAAACTGGCATGTCTGATTTAGCGCAGCTGTTTTATTCAGAAACAGAGGATGATGACTTTGATGGGTTTGATTAATACTTTGTAATTAATACATGAATAAAGCACAATCATACTCAGTTTTGCTCCCGCTCTATTTTTCTACCTGAACACTTAATTCAACAGCAGCCTGTGGGCGCGTCTCCTCCTCTTCACCGCGGTGGCTGGCAGGTGTTTTTTCATCTAAATAATCTAAATCTTGCAGCTATATTTGCTGTGATCAGTGGGAATAAAGTAGTTTTAATATGTTTTTAAGTGAGAAAGTCCACCTGAAAACTTCATAATTGCAGTCAGTTCATCCAGATTATCTATTTCTGTCGGAGACGCTCAGACCCCCACATACCAGCGGTGCACCGACAGCAGAAATCCTTTCGTTCACCGCGGCGGCTGGCAGGTGGTTTTCATCTAAATAATTTAAACTGCAGGCACCAGGATACCGGTAATAAAAGCGAACATATTCTGTCGGCAGGTTTCAGGATTTTAAGTTAATTTAGGAGTGACCACAGCGCTGTGTCATCTGCAATGTGTCTGTCTCACGGCCAGCTGCCAGGTTTGATTAATACTTTGTAATAAATACATGAATAAAGCACAGTCATACTCAGTTTTGCCCCCGCTGTATTTTTAAATACGTAGTAGAGGTATTTAAAGGTAGTAGAGGACATGTACCGGTATATAAAAAACGCGCCCTATAGTCTGGTGCACCTTATGTGTGTGTTAAATACAGAAATGGGACACATAACTGAGAGTGCGCCTTTTAGTACGGTGCGCCTTATGGTCGTGAAAATACGGTATTAGACCTGGTCCTAGTCCTGGTTATGAAGAGTTTAGAGTTCAGGCTGCGTTGGAAACATGGATGGATCCGTGCTGCTCTCAGAACTTTTTCTGCTCACTGTTAGATGTGATCTGATTGGACAGGAGAAGATCTTGTCCTGCTGATCAAGGAGAGACAGACTGAGTGTCCATCTGTCCTTTCAGGCGAGGACTCCTCCCAGGACGGAGGTCCGTCTCAGAGGAGAGACCCAGAGTCGATGGCCGAGGTCACGGTGGACATCAGGAAGCTGCAGCAGTTCCTGGCAGGGCAGCAGGTCAACCCCAGCAAGGCCATGTGCAGTGAGTCCTGCAGCCGTTAGCATGCTGCCACTTATCTTGATGTTAGCTTTAAAAACGCTGCACTGGTTCAACAACAGCTCTGATTCTCCATCACTGATTGGATCCACATTTAAAGGAAAATATTAGTGGGTCAGAAAGTCCAGAAATCAGAACCGTCACTAATTGAAAGATGCTTGATTTCAGGAAATGTTTTGATTCTTAAAGGAAAGCTGCTTCCTCTTCATCTGAGTTTATTTATTTTTTTTCTAATCCTAAACATTTAGTGATACTTTTTCAACCTTAGATGACAAAATGTCACTTTTTTGGTCTTTTTTTTTTGTGAATAAGATGAAAAGTAAAAGGTGATTGTATCTGTGTCCATATTTCTCTCCTAAAATGAAACCTGGAGGATGATCCAGAGGACTAGTTTTTATCCAGATCCTCTGCATTAAGCCCAGAAACTCAGAGCAGTGTTTGCATTGTCTGTTTATTGCTGGGTTCTGGTGTGGGTTCTATCCGAGCAGCCATAGATGTTGATATCTGTCTAAATGGGATTAAATGCAGCTGTTGTGTTGTGATCCAATGAACGACCCTCAACCTCATTGCTTTAAACATCCCAGAACATCAGGAGAAGCTTTTAGGTCCATTTGGTCCATCATAGCTGTGTTGCAGAGGAGGACGGAGGTAGAGTTCAGTCTCTCTTTCTGTGTAAAATGACTCCAAATGCATTTAGGAGGGCTGTGGTGGTTCTGTTGGATCTAGATGGTTGATAAAAGCATCAGACCATTTTAGCAGCTTCTACCAGCTGCTCAGAACATTGCTGTGGTCCTCATTGCTGTGGTCCTCTTGTCTCCTCAGATATGGTCCATCAGAGCGTGGTCCACCTCATCCTGCTGCATGAAGACGTGTCTCTGCAGTATTTCCTCCCTGCTGTGGCCTAGATCCTCTGCAGATGATGTGGGTTCTGGTCCTGCTCAGTGAGAGCTGCTTTCTCCACTTAACACGAGGAGGAGGTTCAGATCCTCCATCAAGACTCTGAGATGACGTCACCTGTGGAGCTCTGCTGCTCTTCAATGTTTCCACGTTTGCTGTGAAGAGATGAACTAAGGCTCCATTAGTTCTGTGTTCCTGCAGTCATTGTCCAACATGTGGAGATTCAAACATCAGTTCTTTCTGTTCGGATCTGTACAGATCTATCTCCCCACCTCTGTCTGCATGGAGGGATGGTTTGATTTAGCTCTGTGGTGCATGTTGACATAGTACTGAAATAAAAAGGCTAAAGTGATGCCTTTGAATCACAAGGAAGATTTTGCTCTGAAATCTGTCAGTGGTAACAGAAACATTTGGCCAAGGCCTGTTTCTGAAGGTGGGAGAAGTGAGAATAACAACAGATGCAAAGAATAGAAAGTCTGAGCTCAGAAGAATTAACCTGAAGGCTGAACCTACATAGTAAAAACAACTGATTTCTAGAAGGACAGCAGAGAGATAAAAGTAGAAACAAAATGACTGAATTATTCCAATAAACAGACTTTAATCCCATTAAAAAAAGCATAGCTGGAACAGTCAGTACCCAGTCAAGGCTAATCCATCCACAGTCAATTGTGAAATCTTAACAGAATATCTTAAATAACTAGAATTGGAAGTTATAGTTAATTAATAGGTCATTCAAATCAAGGGTAAAACTAGTTATTTATTATCAGTTGAATGATTATAACTGAAATTATTATAATTTGCTTACCAGGGTTTTTAGCCTCTTACCTTAAAGGTTGGACTCCTGAATCCGACTGTTAAAAATCCAGTTGTCTTTCACCAATTTAGTAATGTAGGCTATGCCTATCAGTAATGTTATTAACCATCAACCAAATAATGTGTCTCTGTTCATTCAGATGCTACTGAAAGAAGAATGAATCCAGCCTGAGTGATAAATCGTTCACTGTGTAAAATGAACACAAAAGACCAAAGTTTAAAATACAATGGTGCCTTTATTAGCTACAATCACACAGTATTATATCTAATAACTAAGCAAACACTAAACAATACTGAAAATAAGCAAAATTAAAGGAGAAGAGGGTTTTAAGAGTCTGTTCAAAGTCTGAGGGATGTTCGAAGTTTAAAGCTTAATGCATTTGAAAGTGTCCTTTATAATAGCTGCAGATAAAATGTGAATAAACCCTGATGCAGAGATGTAAAAATGTGAAGGATGTGGAGAAAAAGAAAATGTAGAGCACATACTGATGAACTGTTAAACTTATGAACCTGAAAGGAAGAAATTGAGAAGAATGGTTGGAAGGACAGACAAAGAATGGAGTCTTAAAGGAATATTAGAAAATTAAGGAAATATAAATTATATTTACAATTAAGGAAAGCATTATTTATTTATCTACAGAATACAAAATTAAAAATAGAATTTGATGTAAAGTAGGTGACGGTATGCACCTTAAAGTTGCTTGTGATCTGCCATAATAGAAAAGATAAATAAGAAGATAAAAGATATACTGGAGCATTTAAACCCCACCAACAGCAGCATTACAAGTAGAAATGGGAGAAATACCATTGGATTTAAGAAGAACAAAAGTAGGAATAAATTATTGGTTAAATCTACTAGGTAATAACTCTGATGATCCAACTTGGGAAATTTTAAATCCATGTTGGGAAAAAGAAAGAAATGAGGAGTTTTGGATGAACAATTGAAAACGAAATAAAAGAATTTAAAATGACCAATTTAGAAATCACTCAGACACCAATTCAGTTCTACCAGAAGTCACTAATGAAAAAGAAACAAGATAAATCGTACACGGTAGATATTAATTATTACAGTTACATTTAGACAGTTATCAATATATTCAAATTCATACAGATGCATCAAAATAACAAGGAAAATAGGAATAGCTTTTGTAATATCAGAATTCAATATAAAAGTAGGAAAAGGAATTTCAGATGGATTATCAGTTTACACGGGAAATGTTGGCTATATTATTAGCTTTACGATGGGTAGAAGATATAAAACCATTGAAAACAGTAATTTGTTCAGATTCAAGCTCTGCATTGTTAAGTTTAATTTGACATTCTCTTAGAAATATTTCATGCATTATTCAGAATAAAAAATATAGGTTTGATTGTTGTATTAGTGAAGGTTCCAACACATATTGGAGTAGAAGGAAACGAGAGGGCAGATAAAATGGCAAAGAGGGCGATTCAAAATCCTGTTAGATTTACAGTTAAAACAAGTAAATCAGAGGGAAAGAGTATTATAAAAAAAACTGATGTAAAAATGACCAAAAAAAAGGTGGGATGAAGAAAAAACAGGAAGATGGTTTTATAAAATTAAGTAGATAGTAGGCAAAAGAAAAGATGGAAGGTTAAGATTTGGGCAAACAGGACTTATTTATACACTTTTCAAAATTCAAAAGCATGCTACTGACAAATGTGATTATTGTGGACAATATAAAACAATAGAACATGTTATACTGGAATGTCATAAATACTAAAGCGAGAGAAGATATATGAGGAGAGAGTTTGAATGTATTAAGCAAAAGATTCATTTATTAGATATGTTGAGGAGGAATTTGGGTAAGTAAACTTATACAAATAATTATTCCATTTTTAAAGAAAACTAAATTATTTCATAGAATGTGATTATAGTGTGAATGTATGTATGATATAGATGGGTAGAATACGAAGTTGAGTGTAAGTATATATATATAATCCATCACGAACCACACTCCATACCAGTAAGTGGCGCTAATAAATCCAAGAAGAGGAAGTTGGCGGCGAATTTGAACAAGAACACCTGAAAGCAATTGATGGACGGAGTCGCGCGCTGTGTTCACAAGGTAAGAGGTATGTCGAAATATTAAAGATAAAAAAGATCAAATGTCAGCTCAGTTAATCACATATTGAAACTAGTGGGTGTTTCGTGTGTCTTGCTCTGTTGGCTGTTGTAAAATCCTTAAGCAGCCTAGCATGAAGTGAACTGACGGCTGAGAACTAACCAATAAATTATTTTATAAATAGAAGAGGAGACGTGCTAACTGCGGCGGTATTTTTATTCCTTAGCTCCGGTGTAATCAACAACCGGACACCTGGGGCTACCTTAAATGCCCTGAACCCTGGTGCATGCTGGGTATTGGAGTTTCAGAACAATCTCTTGTCGGGGCCCTACTCTTTATTATGGATATCTATGCCCTACTCTAGCTGGATGCAAGCAAGATGAATTATCGCGAGATTTGTCTTTTTTTTTTTTTTTTTTTTTTTTTTTTTTTTTTTGATTTGTAAATTCACAAACTTTGCTAACGACTTCCTGGATAGCCCCCCAAAAGACCCGTGATGCTGATCGGGTTCGGACCATTTCCACTGACTAGAAGGTCCAAATAATCGGTACTAAATGATACTTTACTTCCTGACTGAAGGATTTATCTGATCTGGCTGCGTTTATACTGTCACCAGAACCATGTAGCATAGTTAGCAGTGTTTCAGGGTCGGAGGTTGTTGGGTTGGACACTTGGGAATAAACAAGTTATAAACACATGCAAGATTTTTCTGCAAAATCTTGTTTCATAACCTAAATGCTGTGATTTTATCTCATTTCAGATTCCACAGCATTGCATGTGTATCATAAAGTTTGTGGTCTGACTCTGCCTCATCTTTAAGTTCTGTTAGATGAGTACATCAGAGCAGAGAAAGGTCTGACAAGCTTTGCTTTAGAGTTTAAAAATCAGTTATTATTCCATTTAAATATGCTTACAATTGACAGACTTTTCTCTCAAACTGAAGGGTGGATTTTCTTCTATTTTACAAGTTTAACTGAAAGCAACTTGTATAATGAGAAACACAGTGTGTAATGTTTCAGATCAAATAAAGACAATAAGAAAAAACATAAGATATTTCATGTAGCTAAGCTTCTGAAAAAAATCTGTGATTGGATAGAGTCTGCGCTGCTCGTTGCTACATCTGTAATAACCAAACTTTCAGCATTTTAGATATACTTAGCTATAAATCCTGTCTCTGTGGTCATTAAATCAAGTTGTAATTAATTATTATTCAAAAGAATTATGTGTTTAGTCTTTGGAATAAAAAAGCTTATAAATTTATGTCAGTGTACATTCATGGTTCAATAATTTAACGTTTTTTGCTTATTTTAGGAGATGTAGATCAGTTTTAATCAAATCCGAGTTAAAGATGCACTGGAAAAAATCAAAATCTAGATGTTTTCATAAAATAAGTGCATTTGTTCTTGAATTGATTGAGAAGGTAAAATAGACATTTTGTCAATGAAAGAAGACAATTTACATTTAAAATAAGAAAATGCAAATGTATTGACTTATTTCAACTGCACTTTATCTAAATATCTTATTTTAAGAGTAAAAATACTAATTCCATTGTTTCTAATTCCATCCATCCAAATTATCTAATTTACCTACTAAAATTAAGGGTAAATACATTTTTACTTATTTCTAGATCGTTTTTCTAGTGTGAGTAAAACTAATCAGTTGGCTGTAACAACGTATTAAAGTTGGTTCAAAGTAAAACAATTTTCAATGTAAAAAAAGAATGTTAAAAAATGAAAGTTGGACTAAAAACTTGAACTAATAATGTTTACATTAGATGGTCAAAGGTCAATCTAAGCTAATACTTTATGCTGCAAAATGTAAATCTAAGTAAGTCAGTTTTTCTTGAATTGAGCAGATAAGTGAGACACTTTGCTAATGGAATAAGACATTTTACATTTCAAATAAGAAAACACAACTGTAGTTTAAGTAGTTTCATTTCAAGTGCACAATATCTATTTGTCCTTTTTTAAGGGTAAAAATGTTCATTCCATTTGCAGATCGTCTTACTTTCCTACTCAAATTAAGGGCAGATACACTTATTTTATGAAATTTCTACTCCTTATCAGAACATTCTTGCAGGGTAAATTCCTTTGAACAATATCTCCATGAGTTTTTCTTGTTAATACCGCATTTATAATTGAAACATTATTTATATTTTAGCTTGTAAAACTTGAAATATGAACACAGCCACAGTGCATTCATATTAAAGTCCAAAATGTAAATATTTTAAGTATGTATTTATTTTGTTTGTATTGCAAAAACTTGATCTTGTTCTCCAATAATCCAAATCAAGTCACATCTTTATAAAGTTTTTGCATTGAGTGTTGTCTAAATATCATATTGCAGAAAAAAACAACCTGCCTTTAAATCATCTCAAAAATTCCCTTTTTTTCATGCAGGCACATCAGTGTCAGTTTAAATTCTTGTTGTCCAAACAAGGTCATGTTAAAGTTATGTGGTCATGTTAAATTCAGA